GTGATTTCAGGGATGACACAAGTGCCATCTACATGTAGGACCTCTCCATCTCTGCATCCAGTAATGGCACCCTCACCACTGCCCAAATCAGCTCCGCCTGCACCGGCTCCTCCTGCCGAAAGACCTGCTCCAGCGGAGAGACCTCCACCTGATGGTGCACCCAAATCGTAACCCTGTGGTGCTGCAAAAGCAGCGGCGGCGACTGTTAACAACAAAACCTGCGAACAAGGTAGTAGTAGTAGTCAAATATATTCCTTTTGGTTTACTTAAGATTTTGTATGATGATTAAATTAAGGCACGATACAAACTGATACTGAAAAGGCACTGAACTTACGATGAACTTCATAGTGAATGGCTGAGTAAACTAGATGTTTAGCTTCTTATATATGAGCGCCCTTTCTCGTGCGACCTTGAGTGTAACCTGTCTGCACTTGACAGTCATCTTAAATTCAGGTTGAAAGAAATATTCTACATCATCATATGCAAATGTGGAAATCTAATTAACAAAATCGGTATACATTACATAAGCAAAATATCGTTTATTTTCAGAGGTTCACTAATTAATCTTTGGTTAATCTGTTGATTTGAATAAATAGACATGTTCATTAATAAACACTCACGCAACTCCCTCCCCCCCAAGACTTAAATAACACACGTATACACCCATACAAACATACACAAGTGTGTCTATATTCTATTTGTAGGGCCCTAAAATCGAATTACACTTTTTTTTTAGGATTTACAATATTACTAGGAAATCGTGCTACTTTTGCTGTGTCAGGATGTTTATAGGCTGTTTTTTCATGTTGCAGTTGCATGTTTCTCTTTCCTTTTCCCGTGGCTTCTGTCTAACCCCAAAAGTAAAAAAATTAGCCTGGAAATACTGTGTTTACCAAAATATCCACGATTTATGGCAGATATATCATCGACATACCTGGCATAAGCAGTCGTAACTAATATGTCAAATACAATCCCCCCAGTTTCTTACCTTGCATAGATAACATCAATTCAACGCAAAATGACAAATTCCTCCCTGGAAGACGAATGTGTATTTGAGAGCGACAACCACCAACAATAACGTCACCAGTGGATGACGCGAATGACACCTATGGTCAAAATCTGAGCCTCGTACTTTCTATTTGAAATTAGAGGGGGGGGGGCACCCACCCCATGGGCCCGTCTTACACCACTTTCCCCTTTTGTTTTCTAGAATAGTGATAATGACACAAGGAGTAAATGAACGAATAAAGATTCTGCATGGAATTTTCGTTGTATTTCTGGAGAAGAATTTTCATTCTATTTACAGGTATCTATATTCACAATCTTTACTCTTTATCTAAAACCTATAGCTTAAGAGTGATATCAAAGAGGGGAGCTTCTGTAATAGCAACAATCACTCATTAATTAAAAAGTAAGGAAACACATTAAGACAAGTGAACAAACAAACACATGTATATAATCTATATTTATCTATGATTATCGACCTATCCACCATTATTTATAGCAACCTGTCTATGTTTGTATCTTTAGCCTATCTGTATATGTGCGTATGTGTGGATGTGCATTTGCTTATACGTAATTATATCTATCTATTTATCTGCTTAGCTAGTTATACGGCCTGCATATTTTTGTAAGCATAGACACATTATTATTATTATCATTATCATTATTATATAATGTAAATCGATTATATGTATATAGATTTTTTATTATCATTGTTGTCAATTTCAGGAACAAAGTCACTAGTCTTCCTCCGTTTAAAGTTGTTTACATCAGTATGAATATAAGTATCATGTGTATACACACGTACACAATCAAACACATACAGACACACAGACATGCGCTAACACACACATACATACATACATATATATATATATATATATATATATATATATATATATATATATATATATATATATATATATATACATATACACTTAGACATATAAAGACACATACAATTGACATGCGCATATACACATATATGCATATACACACACGCAAGGAACTGTTTGTATATATATGTAGATAGATAGATAGATAGATAGATATAGATAGATATATATATAAAGACTGTATGTATTCACTGTACATATAATTAATGAATATGAATTCATCTTACTATAATAAGCCTTCCGACACATACTGATACGTCTCGTAATTATTTAAACGAGGCAAGGAAAAACATACTGTTTTTGATATTTCGATATATTTTGAACGTGTTACAAATAACATTATAAGGAATACTGGTGCATCTTAATTAATGTGCACCTTTTGCTAATGAACAATAAATTATGGCGTGTTGTACAGGCCTGAAGGTCTACTTCCTTGACCCGAATGAAGTCCACTGGCGCCTCCGTTGATACCCAAACCAATACCAGCTCCATTAACACCACCTAATCCACCCCCATTTACAATGCCAAAGCCACTTCCTCCTTCTCCACCGGCGAAACCAGCAGCGCCACCAAAGCCGGCTTCTCCACCAGCGACACCAGCAGCGCCACCAAAGCCGGCTTCTCCACCTGCAATTCCTCCAGCACCTTCAAGTCCTCCGAGGACTTGACCGCCTGCTGCTGCTGCGGAACTGAGAGCAGTTTCCAGGTCTACTCCAATGGGAAGAGTCGGGTTTTCTCCTTCTTGGTAGTTGACGAAGTAAATCTCAGGATCAGCCTGTGGCTGAGCTGGTACTTCGATCACTCGCTGAACTTGTTCATCCTGCTTGTTGAGGACATAGACAATGTTGTTCTGTCTTGGTGGAGGAAGAACGATTGGCTCGGGTGCTGGTCCTTCTTCGGGAAGACGAACGAAGAGGATGTTGTGTTCTACTGCAGGAGGAGGAATACTGGGTGCTGGGCCGACAGCCTGTTCCTGTTCAGGAACATTAAACAGGTATACTTTTCTTGTGATTTCAGGAATGACACAAGTGCCATCTACATGTAGGACCTCTCCATCTCTGCATCCAGTAATGGCACCCTCACCGCTGCCCAAACCAGCTCCGCCTGCACCGGCTCCTCCTGCCGAAAGACCTGCTCCAGCGGAGAGACCTCCACCTGATGGTGCACCCAAATCGTAACCCTGTGGTGCTGCAAAAGCAGCGGCGGCGACTGTTAACAACAAAACCTGCGAACAAGGTAGTAGTAGTAGTCAGATATATTCCTTTTGGTCTACTTCAGATTTTGTATGATGATTAAATTAAGGCACGATACAAATTGATACTGAAAAGGCACTGAACTTACGATGAACTTCATAGTGAATGGCTGAGTAAACTAGATGTTTAGCTTCTTATATATGAGCGCCCTTTCTCGTGCGACCTTGAGTGTAACCTGTCCGCACTTGACAGTCATCTCGAATTCAGGTTGAAAGAAGTATTCTACATCATCATATGCGAATGGTGAAATCTAATGAATAACAGAAACTGTAAACATGACATTAGCAAAATATCATTTATTTACATGATGTTCACTTATTAACCATCGATCAAAATAAAGATTCAAAGAAATAAACATTTTCATTAATAGATACGAACTTCCCCGACCCCCGAGACTTACATATAACGCGTACAGAAACTCATACAAACGCGCATGTATTTGTATATTCTATTTGTAGGGCCCTAAAATCGAATTCCATTTTTTTTTTTTTTTTTTTTTTTTAGGATTTACAATATTGCTAGGAACTCGTGGTATTACATAATTAAGTTTTTCTCCCTTACAATCGAGACAGACAGACGCGAGAACCTTCGCCAGAGAGAGCTTCATATTCTATAATATATTGTAGTTGCAAAGAAGAAAAAATCACCATGGTAACTACTCTAGTGTTGCGAGGAATGCAGTCTATAGTCATCGTTATGAAATTGAGTCCAAAATACATAAATGAGTTAAAGGGGAACGTGCGGTAAGCTTGATTTTTTAAAGATTCTAGAAACCACATTCATAGATTTTTTAAGCTTGATAGGTTATGGTGGGACTTTAGGATACCATTTTTATTGTCCATAACCTTCTTTTTTTTAGGGAAAGACTGAAACCAAAGGTTTTAGAAATCAATATTTTGTTGCACACACACACACACACACACACACACACACACACACACACACACACACACACACACACACACACACACACACACACACACACACACACACACACACACACACACACACACACACAAAAAAAAAAAAAAAAAAAAAAACGGGGTGAGATGGACCCCTCAACCTTAACACGAAGAAAAATATCCTTGATGGCACAAATCATACAAAAAAGTAACATCTTCATCATCCCGAAGAACTGCTAATCGAGTCATTGCAATACAAACAAAGCGCGGAATCTCCATATTCATCACTACTGTCACTGTCACGAGCCAAAGGCCGATCAGGTTTTGCTTGCTTTGCTTTTTTTCTGTTGTGTCAGGATATTTTTAGGCCGTTTTTGATGTAGTTGCTAGTTTCTCTTTCTTCTTTCCTCTTCCCGGGGGTTCTGTCTAACCCCAAAAGTAAATATTCAGTCTGGAAATGCTGTGTTTACCAGAATGTCCATGATTTTATATCAATTTATGACAGATATACCATCGACATACCCGGCATAAGCAGTCGTAACTAATATTTCAATACAAAACCCCAGTTTCTTACCTTGCATAGATAACATCAACACAACGCAAAATGACAAATTCCTCCCTGGAAAACAAATATGTATTTGAGAGCGACAACCACCAACAATAACGTCACCAATGAATGACGTGAATGACACCTTTGGCCAAAATCTGAACACCGTACTTATTACTTGAAATTAGAGGGGAGGGGGGGGGGTCACCCACCCAATAGGCACGTCTTACACCACTTTCCTCTTTTGTTTTCTAGAATAGTGATAATGACACAAGGAGTAAATGAACGAATAAAGATTCTGCATGGAATTTCCGTTGTATTTCTGGAGAAGAATTTTCATTCTATTTAAAAGTGTCTATATTCACATTCTTTACTCTTTATATAAAACCTATAACTTAAGAGTGATATCAAAGAGGGGAGCTTCTGTAATTGCAACAATCACTCATTAATTAAAAAGTAAGGACACACATTAAGACAAGTGTAGCAAGCTGCTTATGTCTATATATTTAGCCTATCTGTATATGTGCGTATGTATGGATGTGCATTTCCTTATATGTAATTATATCCATCTATTCATCTGGCTAGCTAGTTATACGGCCTGCATATTTGTGTAAGTATAGACATTTATCATTATCATTATTATTTAATGTAAATCGATTATATATATATATATATATATATATATATATATATATATATATATATATATATATATATTTCATTATCAATGTTTCAATTTCAGAAGAAAATCACCAGTCTTTCTCCGTTGAAAGTTGTTTA